ATATTTAACAACCCAAGAAAACAACCAATGTGACATCAAAGAGAAGCTAGACACATGAAATTTGTCCTTTACATTTAAATGTTTAAACATGCGTCAGGAACCATCAAATCAAGCGAAGCTCATATGTGCTTCGAACAAAACACCATAGCTACTTTAAAATGAAAACACAATGATATGCAAATGGAAAGCTCCTTGTTTCTTGTGTAGTCATCCTTGCCACATATTCATGTGAGATGGTACTTCTTAGATGTGGTTCTACTTGAAAAAAGCCAGCCACCAAGCATGATTGAAAGAGAACAGGATAATATAATAGATTAATAAATGTTTTTTTTTTAAATATAGAAATAGTGAAAACCTTATTCTTGAGAAGGCATTCTTGAAAAGACTTATTTTGGAATAATGACTGGAGAAACTACAAAGAAGCCTCACATTGCTGGCAACAGAAGTTGACTGCCTTTTCAATGCCTAGACTAGAATTCGAGTGAAACTCATTCTCCTTTGCTGACAACTTTGTTTGAAGGAAGTTGATATTCACGCGAACTGCTCCAAAGGCTGCATCTATATATATGTCAGCCTTTAAAGAAAGACTTGTTTAGCCATTCTTAATGTCAAAATGTTATCAGCTTTGAATTGTTTAACATCAAATTGACGGAGTACAACATTATACCTTAGGATGTGCCTGGAGAACATAAGTGAGATCACTCCATTGTGACGAAATGCAAGCAGTGAGTAGATACATACTACAAGGTACAAGTGCCGAGTACAGAAGTGGTATAGCACCAGCATAACTATATCTCTAGATCATGCAAGAGTAAATTCAATTTCACATATCAGTTGCATCATCGAATAGTCTAATAAATAAATATATACAAGAATTCAAAATTGTTTCCTATAAAACAGCTATTCATTATTTGAAATTTCAATATATACATTAACCAGTACTAGGAGCAACAAGAAGGCAGAAGGTTGAGATGCACTGACTTAGATCTTCTTTCTACCTCCTACGTTACATATTAGTTGCAACTTTGAAATTTTTTATGTCTCACAAATAATACTCTGAAATTGCAAATAATATATAACAGAGGAAGTATTTCACTTTAGTTCTTTTTCGTTCTAAACATCATATATGTTATTGCTGTTGATATCGGGCCACCAAATGATCATAACATAACCAGAACATAGACCACAAGTCTTATTAAGGAACATAATCCAAACTGAGAATTTGTAAAAAGATTTAATGGAACAATAAAGAATCTCCTTGCAGCATTTTGGATATGATGTAGAATTATCATGAACATAATTAATCGAGTTAATGAAGGTAGAGAACCTGTTTACAGCAGAAAATGAGTACATAGAACACTAAATCAAGCAGTTGTTTTGACACTTTCATATCGTCGAGCAAGATTTGTAGAATGAAACAACTGTTAACACACACGAAATCATTACCATGCATGTTAACTCAATGTTTTAGTATGATTTAACCTATTGAAAAAATCGGTTTAGTTTTCCTCCAAAAACTCATTTAAATGAAGGAAACTTTTTAAGTTTCTAACAAAAGGATTATTAGGCAGCTCGGGAAATTCCCTGTTAACGAATTTTGTGGGCACAACAAAATTTCCTATTTCTCATGAGGGTATTTTCGTAAATAAATCAACAGCTTTTTCATCATTATGGGCTCCACAATTAAACAAAATTGTTGGTTTATTTACGTGCCATATGAAAACAAGTTTCTCATTACGAGAAAATGGGGCATACTCTTAAAATAGTAAGAACATTTATAGGGGACAATACAAAAGGAGTATACAATTGAAAGGTTACATATTAACCAAAATGTTACTGACCTGTTTAAGCTTAGAGTGTCGAGTAGCTATTTCACATAAAGAATATAAAAGCCGAAGTCCAGATAATAAGTGTTTCAATGAGGCTTCGTCTCCTTGGGAGGACTATAGCACAGCAGTAAGGTGTGAAGGAAGGAGTCGAGCGAGTTTGTGCATATCAATCTGAAAGAAAAATCCCCTTCATGTAAAAATGTAGCACATAATTTGGCTCATATTCAACCTTTGGAAATTTGTCAAAGAGTGGGAAATTTTTAATCTGAAAGAAAACTACAATATTGACTTTTCCCATATGTGCCTCTTTATATAAATTATTATACCGTAGTAAAAGTAAGATGAAGACATAAAAGAAAAAGCCCTTTGTTTTTTAGTTGCACCACTTATTGTTTATGGATGTATTTTTTAAATGCATCACTTCTATACTTAGTAAATTTATACTATATTTTTTCATTTATTTCTTTTACTTTAAACTCCGCTCAAATTATTTAACCATTTCTCTCTCTTCTATGGTCTCCACTTAAATAATAAAAATATATATCATCTCTCACATAGTTGCTTTTTCATGGTACCCATTTTACTTTTACTTTAATAATATTTTATTTACTTACTCACAATATTATATTACTCTCCAAAAACTTTGTGCAAACACAAGTGATGCAAATAAAAAAACGGAGGAAGTATGTGAGAGTGGATAATTTATTTTTATTACTACGTATTTAAGTGGGGAAAATGAAAGAGAGAAAAATGATAAAATAATTTGTGTAGAGTTTAAAGTAAAAGAGATAAATGATAAAATAGGAGTAGTATAAAGTCACCAAAAATAGAAATGATGAATTTAAAAAAACTCAAATTTTAAAAAATGGCCGGTGTACAATACTTATTGTGTGGCGCGGCCCAATTTGAGGAATTATTGCCCTCTTCTCACTGTCAGCTTTTGAGATTTTTTATTTTACTTTTTTTTAATTTATATCTCTTTTTGATTTTTTCTTCTGCTCCTAAAACTCTTTTTAAATTTTTTCTCTCTCCTTTTTTCCTTTCTATGAGTATATTTGTGGTTTTTATTTAATTATAATCTCCTTATCCTCTCCCTCCTCTTCATTGCATTTTCATTTTACCTTTTCTCCTTTTTTCTTTCTCATGTTAATTTTTTTAGTAGAATCAACTCAATTGGTAAATAAAAAATCTTTGAAGAAGAAAAAAGTTATAGTGAAAATGTGTCCTATTGAAGATTGTAATGAAGAATGTTTTTTCTCATGTTCAGCGTTTTGTAATGAAGGTTTGATAACCATTTTTTTTATTTTGTTTTTGTTTTCACTTTTTTATAGTGTTTGATTCTGCAATGGTGAAGAAGAAGAGTACAAAGAAGTCATTAGATGCTAAAGGTTCAATTCAGTTTTTTTATGGGTCACTTTTATGTATAAAATGGGTAACTTTTGAGCATAAAAAGATATCTTTTGTGAATTGAAAAGGTAACTTTTATGAATGAAAAGGGTACATTTTGTGGGTAGAGAGACTAATTTTTATGCAAGAAAAGGTCACTTTTGTGAAAAAATGATTACTTTTATGAAAAAAATGAGTCATTTTATGTGAAAAAAGGTCACTTTTGTAAAAAAAAAAGGTCACTTTTCGCAAAATGTTCGATGTACAATAAAATTATTGTAAACCGGAGACATGCAAAAGTTTTTGTTAAAAAAAAAACATCCATAAATGAAAAGTGATGCAAATAAAAAAAACGGAGGGAGTATCAATGATGACCTTGTCATTTTCCTATCATTAACGGTCACCGTTAGTGGGGCCTCCTTTGCACTTTAAATTTTTTTTTTCTCGATTTAAGTGCTAAAAAAAATGTTTTGTTAAAGATTTTATGGGTCATTTTAAACCATAAGAAATCAAATTGAGCTCATATTTGACAAAAAAAAAATAATAAATAAAAAAAATAAACGTAAAAGACTTGTTTTATGAATTTTAATTTTAAATGCAAAAATCTGAATTCGAAATTGAGGCTTTTACGGTTGCTTTTTTTTTTCCTAATATGGATTCAATTTGAATTCATAAGAGTCAAGTGGTCCCTAAAACCTTTAACAGAATTTTCTAGCAAGCATATCGAGAAAAAAAAACTACAAAGTGGACCCATTAATGGTGACTGTTAACAGTAGGATAACGTCAAGATTACTACTGATATTCAATTGTACTTGAAGGTTACACTATGTAACTTTTAAAAAGAGGGATCACAACTGGGAAAATTTCCAGCAAAATAAATAAATAAATAAATAAATTCAATACTAAAGGGTTATAGACTTTGTTTGGTAGGGTGTAAAACCTTTTTTTGCGTAAAATGAAATTTTATGTACAACATTTTATAATAAACTGTAAAAATACATTGGGGAAAAAAGAGTGGAAGGGAAAGGGAAAGGACAGATAGGAGGAAAGGTAAAAAATTGCTAAGTAAAGAAAGAGAAAATGATGTAAAACATTTTACAACCTACCAAACAGAGCAATAGCTAGCGTAAAATAGGCTAAGTAATCTTTCTATTTTGTAGCGTATGTCACTTGACAAAACCAATAAATATCATGGTAAATTTTGATGCAAACCTACTTTTAATCCTTTATTTAAGCTGTAATATACTATACTAGTACTCTCGTAGAACTTAAGAAGAAAATTGAATCACTTCTTACATTGAGGCCCCTTTTGAATTTCCCAGAACAATTTGAAACTAAGGGAGGTTATGAATATTACTCCATCCGTCCCCAAATAAGTATTACTCCATCTACTTCCTCCTTTCATTTTAGTTGTAACAAAATGGTATTATTTGTGAGATAAAAAAAAATCATTTGTTGCAACAAAAAAGAAACAGGGGTAGTAATAATTTTGTCCCTACATAAAACTTTTATTTCACCTCTATTTTTTTTTGATTGAAATTCTTGATGAGGAGCCTTAGCTTGTGAGAAATGGAAATGGTGACCTTTTTGAAAATGAACTGTACAAATTGACCCTATAAAAGAAAATTATCTCACTAATAACCTTATTTTTATAAATAGTGAATTAAAATTAATTAATTATGGTTAGATTTATTTTAAAAAAATAATAAAAAAATAATCTAACCACCAACCCAGCCACCCCCACCATCACCTCTGCCCCTACCTGCTGCTAGCCCACTCTTTCCCCCTCCCCTTCACTCCCAACACCCAGGAATCATTCCCCCCATCAGTGACCTTACCCGATATCCTATCCCCCACCTCGACCCTTCACCCCCTCCGATTTCCCGACCGCCGCCTTCCTAGAACCCCATACCCAGGTCATCACTCTTCCCTCTTTGTCCTTTGACCACGACCACCACCAACCCAGAACGCCAAACCCATGATCCCCCTCTCTTTCTCCCCCACCTAGATCGAAACCCAAACCCATGACGACCCTCCCTTTCTCTCCTTTGCCAAGACTTAAGCCACAACCCGTGACCCAAACCACCTCCATTAGGGTTTCGATTGAGATGGGGTGGCTGGGGTTAGGGTTTTGGTAGGGATGAAGATGAAAATAAAGTTATAAGTAGGGTAATTTTACGCAATTTCTATGTTACTCCCGGAGTACCGTCAGCATGGTACTCCGGGTTCCAAAACAACGGCGTTTCTGCTGCTGGGGCGTTAAGTATATAATCAACCTGCTCTTTCTCCATTATCACTTCTTCCCAATTTTCTCCCTTCTTGATATACTTTTTTCCCTCTATTTTTTCAATTGCAAATTTTTCTCTCCGATTTTTCTCTCAAATCAATCACTCTTTTTCCTCTTTTCATCAATTACTTTTCTTAATTGAATATGATTTTGCGAAATTTGCTAGGTATTGAGGCCGATGATGCTTGTTGTACTGAATTTGCTCTTGTTGATTTTGATGCGGAAATCATTGCAGAGCAAGTGGACGACCATGAATTTGATTCATCATCAGCAGGTGAAGCTTTTAAATTTTATTCAAATCAATTGATCGTGATTTTCATGAATTGGATGTTATCTTTTTTAATTATATGTTATTTTTGTAAGATATTGATGTTATTCTTTTTTTTTCAGTAACGTTAAATTAAAGTTATTTTTAATGAAGTATATGTTATTCTAAAATTGTAGATTGCATGAATTGGATGATATTTTGTAGATAACTTACGTTATTTTTTTTTTAAAGAAATTGATGTTATTCTCTTTTTTCAATTAATAATTAAATGTTACTTTTAATAAAGTATATGTTATTCTTAAATTTTAAATTGCATGAACTAGATGTTATTTTGTAAGTAACGTATGTCATTTTTTAAGAAATTGATGTTATTATCTTATTTTTAGTAATGCAGATTAATTAACAAATAAATGTTATTTTAATGAAGTATATATGTTATTCTAAAAGAAGTTTTTGTTATTTTGCATATTTGATGATTCTTTCAGTTGGTCAACACGTTTACTCAGAAGCAGATACATCTGAATTGCTTGATGCTGAAGTCAAGGATGCTGATGAAGCATATAATCTGTATAACAATTATGCTTATAGGCTTGGATTTAGTATTCGGAAAGGGAAGACAAGGCCTCGAAATGATGGGACTGTATGTGCAAGGGAGTTTGTTTGTTCAAAAGAAGGGTTTAAAAAACAAAGTCTTCCAAAGCGATATACTAAGACAGATTTTAGGACTGGATGCAAAGCTCATGTACTGTTTGCTGTTGATAAGTCAGGTGTCCATCGTTGTAAAAGACATGTTATGGACCACAACCACAAATTGGTTGATGTTGATAAAAGACATTGGTTAAGATCTCAAAGAAATGTAAGTAAGGATCAATTGGATATGTTCACTTCTTGGAAAGACAATGGTATGGGTGTAAGTGATGCATATCGATTTGTTAGGAAAGAGAGTGGTGGTTTTCAATCAGTTGGTTGTGTTGTTAAATATGTTTATAATGCAGTAGGAAAGCAGAAGAGAAAGAAGATTGAAGGTTGTGACACTAAGCAGTTGTTAAAGATGTTTGCTGAGAGGCAAGCTAAGGAGACTGACTTCTACTATGATTTGGAGCTTGATGAGAAAGGGCACATCATTAGTTTCTTTTGGAGAGATGGGATTATGAAACGAGATTATGAAATTTTTTCAGATTTGCTAGTGTTTGATACAACTTATCGAACCAATAAATATGCCATGATTTGTGCTCCGTTTGTGGGAATGAACCACCGCAATAAAAATGTCATGTTTGGAGTTGGGTTTCTTTTGAATGAAAAGCATGATTCTTTCATTTGGCTGTACAATACATTTCTAAGATCTATGGGACAAATTCAGCCTATAACTATCATGACGGATCAATGTCAATCAATGGCCAAAGCTATTTCTATTGCTTTCCCTAATTCTTGTCATCGTCTTTGTACTTGGCATATTGGTAAAAATGCAACAAAGAATATTCCTCACTTAAAAGCTTTGAAAGGATTTAACAGTATCTTCAACTATGTCTTGAAGTATACTGATACAGAAGCAGAGTTTGAGCATTACTGGGCAAGGTAATTATATTTAGTATTATTTAGTTCATGTTATTCTGATTAGTGTTTCATATTATTTTATTTTTAGAATATGTTAGCTCGTGTATAATTACATGTTATTTTATGTGGGCAAGTTATTTTTAATGCATGAATATATCATGTTATGTTGAATCTTTTTAATGTTATTTATTTTAAAGTTTCATGTTATTTTATTTTTATACGAATTATAATATTACTGCACTTATGGCTTTTTAAGCTGCTTGAGCTGCACTTCCTGAAAAATAAAAAACACAAAATCTATTAGAAAAATAAAATAACAAAAGGATTGATGAAAATAACATGAGTTGTACTTACATATTTAGTTTGTAATCCGCAATCCCATTCTGTGTAATCATCATTGTTAGTTTTTCTCTTCTGTTTTTTCAACTTTGCTGCACATTGTTTATCTCCATCTTCATTATCATCTCCTACACCAAATTAAATGCAACAACTCAAAAATTAACAAAAATTAAACCCTAATTAGCAAAATAATTTTTAGCAGCAGTCGTCTTGGTAGCTGAAGATTCAATAGAAGCAACAGTAGAAGCCTTCGCGGCCGCCATTAAAGCTCTGCATTTACCTCCGATTGCTCTCAAAGTCGCCATTGATGAAGAACAATAAAGCTGATAAAAAAATAATTTACAATTAATCAAATACTTACTTCTCTTGATGTCGTTTAAAGTATTTTAGGTTAGTTTTGGGCATGCTTGAGGAGAATTTTTGTCTTCGATGGATGCAATTTAAGAATTTTCAAGAGTTTCAAATAGTGAAATAGAGAGAGAAAAAAGAAGAGCGATTTTTTGAAACTGAAAAATAGATATGCTTTTCCTCCGTATTTTTATATATAAGGGTATGTTTTTATGTTATTTCGTTTTGGTTATTCGTTATTTCACGAAATAAATTCTAGCGCGCTTTTTTTAAGCTGGGTTTTTAGCCCATTTATAATTTCGTTTTTATAATTCATTTTCAGGGTGATCACCATTTCCGTGTCTCAAAAATTGAGGGTCACCATTGATTTGTGTGAGTTTGTGATCAATCAAACTTCATTTTCTTCACTTAGGTATTGTTTGGTTTACAAAAGAATTGATTTCTTATGGGCATTTGTATCTCATGGAAATTTAAAATCCCACATTAAATGTTCTAGGAATTAACTAAACTTGTGAAATTTATATATAGGTATTTACAAATCATGAGAATTTTGAGTTACCAGCGAGACCTTGGTAATCAAATTTCCATGTTTTATAGGCATTGAGAATTCTCATGATTGTATACTTTCCAGATTTCACTTTTTATGGTCTATCAAACAAAGCCCCTCATTTTCAAATTCATAAAAAATTTCAGTTCTTTCATGCCATTTTTTATGTGCAACCAAACAACACCTGCAGAGATAAATCATTTATTGTAATATATATATATATATATATATATATATATATATATATATATATATATATATATATTGTCACTTTTAACCAATCAAACCCCATCTTACCAAACCCCTTTTACAAAAATGTGAAAATTAAGATAATCAACTCACCTGCAGAGATAAACCATTTGCTGTAATATGGATAATTGAGAAGTTTTCAGAGTCCTTTAACAACTTACTGAGGTCCTGAGAGTTAAATCTCTGTAACTCCTTTACTTTTGTGAACATGTCAATATCCTGCAAAACATTGAAGTGTCATACATTTTGAAGGGACAAAGAAAATGAGGTACTACTTGAAAAAACAACCTACATTAACTAGAAACTCTTAAGTCAATATGCTGCCTATAAATGCAAATAGAATGGAAATATCTACATGAACCTACAAACTAATGACTAATTTGACTTAACTTTTGTTCTCTATATGAAAAACATAGCCTATATCTTTTATTCTCATCTATTTCCTAACACCTGGTAGGCTGGTACGATGGGTTGATTGCAGATTATGCCATGATCATTACTATGCAAATTTGATTTTAAAGTTGCGAGTTATTACAATAGTTAACTATTGGAGGCTTAACATTTGAAACCATTGTAATAATAATCATAATAATAACTAATGTTTAATAATGATAATAATAATAATAATAATAATAATAATAATTAATATTTAATAATTACTATTTAATAAATAATACTTAATAATAATTAGTAATTATTAATAATAAAAATAATAATAATAATAATAATAAATATTTAATATTTAATAGTAACAGTAACAATAACAATAATATTTAATGAATAATAATAATAATAATAATAATAATAATAATAATAATAATAATAATAATAATAATAATAATAATAATAATAATAATAATAATAAGGGTTATCTGACTTTATTCCTGAACGGGTTGTGGCTAATGCAGCTCATCGGAAGCGGGTTAAGTATGAGGCTCGTTGTCAGGCGATTGGATATGGGTTCATTCCCTTCACCTTTTCTTCGTTTGGTAAATTAGAGAAAGAGTCTGCTGCGTTGCTTAAGCGAGTTCAGAGGTTCTCTTCGACGCAAGACATTGAAGCACGTGCTACAGCTCATATTTTTACTAGGGTAGGCTTTGCTATAGCTAGAAGAGTGGGGGCCCAGATTGTATATCGGCTTCCCACTAATTTATTGTAGGTTGTATGACTTTTGTTTTTGAGATATAATAATAATAATAATATTTAATATTTAATAATAATAGTAAAAATAATAATTAATAATAATACTTACAAATATTTAAATTTAATGATAAATAATAATAATAATAATAATAATAATAATAATAATAATACTCTATTACCGGGGTGGTTAATCTCTTTCTAGCTGGAAGATGTCCTATGGAATTAGGAGAGTATATTGCTAATGCTCCTCTTACACCACTTAATAAGCCCAGTGGTGGTATTCGTCCTATTGCTGTGGGTACGGTTTGGCGGTGTCTAGTTTCGAAGGTGGGTGTTGTTATGGTTTGTCAATCTTTAGGGAGTTACTTTGATGGTCTTCAATTTGGTGTTAGGGTCTCTTCAGTTGGTGAGGTAATTCATCATGCAGTGAATCAGTTGATGGAGGGTCGTGGTTCTGACGTTGGTCTTTCTATGTTGTTGGTGGATTTTCAAAACGCCTTCAATCTAGTTGATCGTTCGATCATGTTACATGAAGTACGTCGCCGTTGTCCAGGCATTTCACGATGGGTTGAATTATGCTATTCTAATCTAGCCAGATTATATTATGGGGACCAAACCTTATGGTCATCTCAAGGGGTGATCCCCTTGGTCCTTTGCTTTTTTCATTGGTTTTACAACCCCTGGTGTGTAAAATCTGAGAGACTTTTGATGTATGTTTTCAGGCTTGGTATTTGGATGACGACACTATTATTGGTGACACGTTGGTGATGGGGAAGGTTTTACAGTTGATTATGGAGGAAGGGCCTCGTTATGGGTTACATCTTAACGTGGAAAAAACTGAAGTTTTCTAGCCTACTGAAGACCCTCAAAGCAGACATGATGGTGTCTTTCCACCTAAAATTGCTCGACCTTTGCATGGTGTTAAGTTTCCTGGTGGTCCTGCTAGTTCCGATTCTAGTTTTAGTGGTGAGCTTGTGATGTAGAGGGTGACTAAGACCATTGCCCTTATGGATAAGGTCGCTATGCTGGATGATCTTCAGTTTGAGCTATTGTTACTTAGGGCATGTACAGGAGTTTCTAAACTCTACTTTGCATAGCGTACTTGTCCTCCTAGTACTTTTGAGGTGACTCAGTGTACTTTCGATGGGGCTCTTCGATCTTCCTTGGAGCGTATTGTTAATGCTTTGGGGCCTGGGTTTAGCGACTGCTAGTGGCGGCTTGCCACCTTACCATTTGCGTTTCGAGGGCTTGGTGTTTATTCCGCAGGTGATGTTCGTCACTATGCTTTTCTTACTTCTCATTTGCAGTCAGTTAGGTTGCAGACACAACTTCTACGGCATGCTGGTGTTGTTGGTCTTGGACGAGCCTTTGAGGATGCGCTGGGTCTGTTTAATGGAATAGTGGAGTTCGACATTTTGAGTAATCCTAGTGAGGTAGCTGCCCCTAAACTCATGAAGAAATTGGAAGATATGTATTTCACAAAGGTTACAGCTTTAGCAAAATCTGCTTATTCTTTAACTCCTCGGCAATCAGCATTATGGAAATCACAGCAAGGAGATCACAACTCTACTTGGATTAGGGCGGTCCCTATTTCGGGGTTGGGTCAAACGATGAATTCCAAGACTTATCGATGTGTGTTGTGCTACCGGTTAGGTGTTCCATTGTTCTCTATCACGATGCCATGCTATGCTTGTTCAAGGGTTTTTACTAGGGATATTTTCGGTGATCACGCGGTGTCTTGTGCTGGTATTATGGGCATTAAACATCGACATAATGTTGTTTGGGATACCCTTGTTGATGTTTGCTATCGGTAAGGAATTTTCAGCTAGAAAGGAGGTGGACATTGGGTTATCTGGAGGGAACAACAGGGCTCACAAACCTGCAAATGTGTTACTTTTGTTAATGGGATCGTGGTCGTGATGTCTATGTTGACTTGACAGGGTTTTCTCCTTTGACACAGTCTGGGATTTTTGATTTTGTTCCCGGACGGGTAGTGACTAATGCGGCAATTAGATATGGCTTCCTACTTTTCTCTTTCTCTTCTCTTTGGGAGTTAGAAAAGGACGTTGTTGCATTGCTAAAGCGGATCCAGAAGTTCTCGAAGACTCAGGATATTGGGGCGCTTGCTGCAGCTCATATGTTTACTAGGATCGGCTTTTCTATAGCTAGAGGAGTGGGGGTCCAGATTGTATCTCGGCTTCCCACTAATTATAGGTTGTATAACTTTGTATGTTTTTGAGATATAATAATAATAATAATAATAATAATGATAATAATAATAATAATAATAATAATAATAATCTATACTAAAGTAATCACCAGCATTATTCCTAAAGTACACGTATCGCACACATGACAAAAATTTTCCCTTCAATATTTTTTTATTTTTTTATTTTTACATTAAACAATAACATGATAAGAATAAAGTTATCTAACAAAATTTTTTTAAGGTAGACCTTAAATAAATTCAAATTTTAGAAAAAATAATTTATAAGACATTTTATTTAAACTAATTTCATTTTAATTAACTTTTATTATATAAAAGTTTTATTATTATAAATTCGTGCATTGCACTGGGCAAAAACTAGTAGGGATGGATATCCAAGTGGGGATGGGGTAGGGATGGTTTTGGAATTGCATCTATCGGGGCGAGGATATGGATGAATTTTGGACTCGTCGCGGGGATGGGGATGAAAATTTTAGGTGGGCATGAAGATGGGAAGGCCAACCTCAGCCCCGCCCCGCCCTGCCCTACCCCATTGACATCTGTATGACTACTCTACTCTGCGGATCCCTACTCTATTATGTCAGAATCTCAAAAGAACAAGACCTATGAATGGTAAGACTTATTGTTGTGTTCTTTGCTACCGATTGGGTGTTCCTTTGTTCTCCGTTTCGACACCATGTTCTGCTTGTTTAAGAATTTTTGATGGAGATATTTATAATTATGGGAATCGTGCAGTTACTTGTACTGTGTTGGAATGGTGGATATTAAACATCGACATAATATTGTTTGTAATACCCTTATTGATATTTGTTTTCTGTTTGAGAAATCTAAAAGAAAAGAGGTTAACGTTGGGTTGAATGGAGGGAACGATGAGACTTTTCTACCAGCAAATGTGTTACTTTATTCTTGGGATAGAGGTTTTGATATGTGTGTGTTGACTTGATGGGGTCTACTCTTTTTACACAATCCGGGTTGTATGACTTCCTTCCTGTTCGTGTTGTGTCGGTTGCACTCAGCAAAAGCGGGACAAGTATGGGTCGCATTGTACGACTATTGACTATGTTTTTGTTCCTTTCTTCTTTTCTTCGTTAGGGTAATTAGAGAAGGATGTTGTTGCATTGTTGACTGGGTTCAAACGTTCGCTAAGACTTAGGATATTAGTGCTCGTGCAACTGCTCACATCTTCAACAGGATCAGGTTCGCTATAACTATTTGGGTGGGGGCCTAGATTGTATCCGACTCCCCACTAATTTCTTGTAATTCAGATGACTTTATAGGTTTTTGTTGATAATAATAATAATAATAATAATAATAATAATAATGATAATAATAATAATAATGATAATGATAATGA